GGATGCGTGGTGTGCGTATCTGTGTATGTGATTTGCATATGTGTGTTTATTGAGTGTGTAGTGAGTGTGTCCACACGTCCGCAGCACAATCTCCTGTCATTGTTTCTTTCCATTTCAACATTCAAGCACAACACATTGTTTGGGTGTGTGTACATACGTACCTTGCAATCGCCCGAGGAAGAGTGTGATCTTTAGAAGGATAAGATGCTGGCTCAGCTCACGTAGGAGATTCTAGGTACACACACACACACACACACACACACACACACACACACACACACACACACACACACACACACACACACACACATCTTCTCACGCGTGGCATTGCAACTTGTATTGTACGGTGGAGCAGCATGCTGACGAGTACAGCGACGACGATAACGACGATGATGCTGGCGCACCGGTGGCCGTGAGCGATCAGGAGCACAATGAAGATGAGGAGGAGGGGGAGGATGCACACGCACCTCATAACGAGGAGAGGGAGGAGGAGGAAGTGGCAGTTAGTGGCGATGATGATGATGAAGCAGCAACAGCAGCGGCGCAGGATGAAGTGGAAACAGCGGGCAATGAAGAAGAGGAAGAGGAAGGTGGTGAGAATGGGCACGTTGATGTGGGCGGTGATGAAGACACGGATGTTCCGCCCGAGGAGATGCCGCTGGTGCAGCTGTGCCAGCACGTGTGGTCGCTCACCACGCCAGACGACGACGACTGCGTGGACGGCGGACAGATGCGCACGTTCATGACCATGTCGCAGCTGCCAAACAACACCCTCGGCCTCATCTGGAGCATGGTCGACACAGAGCAGCGCGGCAAGGTGTGTGTGTGTGTGTGATTGTGCGTGTGCGTGTGTGTGTGTGATTGTGTGTGATTGAGCGTTTGCATATGTGTGTGCGAGTGATTGAACGTGCGTGCTTTCTGACGTGTTCGTGGGAGCGCTTTTTTGCACGTGCGAGCTCATGTCCACGCGCTCCACGGCCACCTTTGCTCACATGTCACCACATCTCACCATTCCCCATCTCACCATTCCCCTTCCTCCTTGTTTCTTGCAGCTCGACTACCGGCAGCTTGGGTTTGCGCTTGGCCTGATGGGGCAGGCGCAGCGCGGTGAGGAGCTTGACCCCTCTGTCATCGGGCCCGCCACACCGCCACCAACGCTGCACGGGCTGCCCCCGCCTGCCGATGAGGACGACAGCACAGCGTAATCCACAGCACACTGTAATTCACAGCACCCCACACATCACAGCACCGCATACGTCACAGCGCGGCATACGTCACAGCACAGTGTATTCTCCCACCAACCACGCATTCGGAGCTTCCTCCTCCTCTTCAACCTCCCATGCTACCTCGTCGTTGTTATGTTAGCGCGCTTGCCCTCGTCTTTGTTTCTTGTTCATTCTGCCGTGTTGTCTGCGTGCGTGCATACGTGTGTGCATGTACGTGTTCATTCTCAAGCAGCCCCCTCCCCATCAGTTGTAGCTCCCCGTCTCATGCTTGTGCTCATCATCGCTTGTCGAATGTGTTCTTCGTCTTTCCTTTGGGTTTTGTCAATGTCACATCAACAACGACACGCCAAGTACAGCAGCATCAGCCACAAGAAGGTGAAGTTGAAGGTGAGGTTCTCCCCTCTTCACATGTCCGAAACAGCACGCAAACACGCGCAGCAGGCAGGCGTGGTCAGATGTCCTTGATCTCCGCGGGAAGCGGGAGCTTGCTGTGTTTCGCCTCCCAATGTTGCTTGTATGTTTTCGCGTTCACCATTTGGGACTACAAGTTTTCGTCACAGCGCAAAAGAAGAGTAGACAGCAAAACACCAGTACGGCGTGTTGGACGCAGTGATACATGAATCCGTTAGTGGCACGAGGCAAGCGCGCACATCAATGGTATGATCCACACAGCCAGTCAGCATCTGAGCAGAGCGCACAAACAGAACAAACCTTGCACGCCTCGCACATGACGTTGAAGGCCTTTTGGATGTTCTTTGCGTGGTCGCCGCCCTTCTTGGCCATCTTCAAAGCAGTCGGAAAGCAGCTACGGTCAGGCAGCAAGCCGCATACACAATAAAAAACACGCATACAGACATACATAGAGACACATAGACAATATGCACACACATGGACACACAGAGAGACACGCACACATGCACACACACATGCACAAACACACAGACACACACACACATACACACACACCTTTGACTTCTTCTGGGCCGCTTTTTGCTGTGCCTGAATCTTTTGCTGTCCACGAGCCATCCTTGGTTGTCACCACCAGATGGGATGGAGGTGGAAGGTGGGAGAGAGAAGGGGGAGGGCGTGGAGAGGGAGGGAGAGCAGCAGCAGCAATGCACAGAGCACAACAAGCGCACCAAGCACAACAAGCACAACAAGCAAGGCGAGCAGCGTTGTGGAAGAGGCACGGGTCGCGACACCATAAAACATTGAAGCCAATATCAGCACATTCGCCAACCAACCACGACAACAACTTGGCATCTGCTCACACCCTACCCCTCCACCAAGCAGCAGCCTACAGCAGCCATGTCTGGCAAGGACGACGACCTGTTCTTTGTGACCAACGTGCAGAAGGCGGGCATTCTGTTCAAGCGCCCGTTCTTGCACGTCTCTGGCAAATGGCAGCGCCGCTTCTTTGTTCTCAAGGACGGCTTTATGCTGTAAGTCTGGCAAGCAAGTGTGCTTGTGTTGTGTTGTGTCGTGTTGTGTTGTGTTGGGTCGCGTTGTGTTGTGTTGTGATGTGTGTTGTTGGATCGTATTTCGAGGTCACGCAGCGTGTCTTGTGACTTGCTGTTGCTTGTGTTGTTGTGGATTGGCGGTGACAGCAGCGTGTATCCTGATGTGCTCGTGCATCTTGCTGGTGCTTTCGTTGCAGGTATTATGCGGAGAAGGAGGCCAAGACATTTGCCGAGACTGGAAACTTCAACATCCATCCCAAGGTCGGGCAATAACTCTCTCTGTGTGTGTGCATGTGTGTGTGTGTGTGCGTGTGTGTGTGTGTGGGTGGGTGGGTGCGTGTGTGGGTGCATGAGTGCATGTGTGTTGACGTTCATGTGTGTGTGTGCACTTGTTCCGTGTCCATTCACTGACCCAATACTTTCACATTCACAATGACAAACTAGGCGTTGTTGCATTCTCTCACTGCCCCTTGCCTCTGGTTCCCCTCACCCAACTGACCCAACTGACCTCACTCACTCACCCACACATACTGACGAATGCAGGGCGTCATTCCACTGGGAGGGTGCCTGGTCAATCACACGACGGAGACCGACAAGCCATATGCCATCTCCATCAACCACCCAGACTTTGGCGAGTCAAACGTCATCGTCGCCACAGACACAGAGGAATCCTTGAAGGATTGGATTGACAAGATCAAGGAGTGCACGCGCATGTACGTACAGCGGGGTCAATCAATGTCATTACGGCCACAGTCAAACGCCTACCCATGTTGGCTGTGTTGCGCTGTAGAAGTGGGCTCTTGTGGCTGCAGCTTAGCTTGTTCACGCCTTGCATGTACAACTAACTCTCCCTCAACACCCCTCATCTTTTGCACCATGCGTGTTTCTTCACACCAGCACGTACAAGAACGCCCAAGTTGGCGAGACGATGATCAAGTGTCTCAAGGCCAAATCGGAGGTCATTGAGGAGCAGCGCAAGGAAAACCAGGAGAAGCTCGAGGTGCCGACAGCGCTCATGCACACATGCAACCAACCACACAGACACATAAAAGGCTTGATGAGCAGGGGGCATGGTGCCCTGCGGGGTGTTCTGCACATATGTTGTGCTTGGTCCTATCTGCCTTCTTCTCACGCGACCACCGGCACCACCACCATCACGGCGTCGCGTGTTGCCAGGCGGAGACGCTTGCGCTGCAAGAGGAGCGAGAGCTTCGGGAACAGATTGAGGAACAACTGCGGCAGCTGCAGGCGGAGAAGGAAGCAAAGGAGCAGGAAGCGATGCAACTCAAGGAGCGAGAGGCCGAGCAGAGACAGTCAGTTGGCCGTAGGCCGTATTGGCTGTGGTGCACCTGCAGATGATGCGTGTTGTCGTGTGGTCGTAGGATATTGTGATTTGTGATGCGTAGTTTGTGACCTTGCACGCAACGCTTGTCCCCTTTCTAACACACACACACACACACACACACACACACACACACACACACACACACACACACACACACACACACACACACACACACACACACACACACACACACACACACACACACACACACACACACACACACACACGCACACGCACACACACACACACACACACACAAACGCCAATGTTCATTTGCGCGTGTGCTTACAGGCGATGGAGGAGCGAGCAATGTCGCTTGAGCAGGACCGCAAGTCAACACACCAGCAGCTGCTGGATGCACAGACGCAGATGCAGACGATTGCGCACGAGATGGAGAGCGCGTCCACAACAGCGGAGCAGCTGCAGGTGAAGCTCTCTGAGGCGCAGCTTGAGCGGCAGCGCGCGGAGGAGCAGGCCCTGCGAGAATCGGAGGAACGCCTCAAATTGGAGAAGAAGTTGAAATTGGCGGAGGATGCCCTGCTGCGGCTGGACAAGGCGCTCAGGGACAGCGGCGTTAAGCGCAGCGAGCTCGTGGCGGTGCGTGCGTGCATGTGTATGTGTTTGTTTTGTGTGTGCATGTGTGCGTGCTTGTGCATGTGAATGTGCTTGTTAGTGTTTGCGTGTACGTGCTTGCTTGCATGTCTACTTTTGTGTTTGAACATCACTCACGACTCAACCGTGCAACCAACCACGTCATCATCATCACCACGTCCCACCCCACGTGCCGCCAACACCTGCAGGCCGATGTGAAGCAGCTCAAGTCGTTCTTTGAAGACGTCTTGGACGACCAGTTCTGGGATTCGCAGAAGTCGATCATCATGGAGAGCGCGGTGAAGGCGCGGCCGGAGTACCAATCGTTTGAGCTGCGTACTGCTGTCGACGCAAAGAAGAAGGAGGTCAAGGCAAGGGGTGGCCCCCGCACGATGGCACAGAGCACCAGCAGCGCGAACAGCGGGGATGGAAGCGTTGGTGGCGGAAGCGGTGATGGTAGTGTTGGTGGTGGGAATGCTGATGGCGGCGATGGTGATGTGGTCACGGCACCGGCGCAACCGGTGGAGTGAGGGCGGCGGCAGCGGTGTCGGTGTTGCATAATGGACCTCAAACGATCGACGTGAAGCGGCTCTGTCTGTCTGTTGCACTCTGTGACGTGTGGTTGTTGTCAATGCATGGTTTTGTCGTCCACAGTCGTATGCGTTTACGTTTTCGTGCGTGCGTATGTGTGCATTCATGCATGTGTGGTTTTGCTTTTTGTATCGTATCATCATAGCACGTGTTGTTGTGCGAGATACATTGTTACATTACATTCATCGCTGTTCTGAGTGTGCGGCTCAGGAACGAAGCAGGGCCTTCTTTTTGTTTCGTGTGTGTGCATGTGTACGTGTGTTGGTGGCTTGTCATCCTTGTGACTTTGTGCTTTGCCTGCCCCTCCATCCGTGTGTATCAGTGTGTGTGTGCGTGTGTGTGTGTGTGTGTGTGCATAATGTGCTTGTTTCGTTTTGTTCAACATGAACGCCTCAGTGCAATGCGTGAGAGACACTGCAAAACAACTACAGCCGCATTGTTTATTGCAGGGGAAGATAGTGCCGATTGCTGGCGAAATGCTCCACAAAGTATCCCAGCCCCGCCTCCTCATACAACGCCTTCGTCAACGTGAACCTGTGTGTGTGTGTGTGTGTGTGTGTGTGTGTGTGTGTGTGTGTGTGTGTGTGTGTGTGTGCGCGCGTGTGTGAGTGTGTGAGTGTGAGTGAGTGAGTGTGTGTGTGTGTGTGAGTGTGAGTGTGAGAGTGAGTGAGTGTGTGTGTGTGTGTGCGTGTGTGCAAAAATGAGAGGGAAGAAGCAGAGCAAAAGTTGCAGTCACCTTTCGAGATTGTCTGTTGATGATGCGAAGACGGCAGCGCCGCGCCACGCATCCAGCGACACGTCTAAGAAGGGGGGGGGGAGGATGAGAGGAGTGATGAGAACAGAACTACACAGCAGGCAAACGGGGGGGGGGGGATAGACAGACAGACAGACAGACAGACAGACACACACACACAGACACAGACACAGACACAGACACAGACACACACACACACACACACACACATACACACACACACACACACCCTTTGCCTTGAAGATTTTGATTGGTTCTTCAAAGGGGCGAATGAGGCGTAATTCATTGTGAATCCTCTGCTGAAATCCAGGGAATTGGGCAGTGCCGCCCGTCACAAACACATTCTAAACGCCGGCATTTCGCAATGGCGGAGGCGTGAAGACGTCGTTACATTGTCGAAAGAACGCGAGCAAGAAAGCAGGCAGCAAGCATCAAAGACTGAAACCTAAGAGGACACAAGCCACCCAAATTCGAAAACATAAGAGAACAAACGATACCTGTGCGAGTGTTCGTTGCACGTCCTTTGCGTATCTTGGAAGCACGAGATCAAAGCACGCGCCGAGACCGCTCTGGTCAACACCGGTCATGGGCGGTTGGAACAGCACCTGCAGTCAATTGGTTGGTTGGTTGGTTGGTTGGGCAAGTTGCTGGCGGTCGGTTTAAACACACGCACACACACAGACAAGCACACACACAGACGCGCACACACACACACACACATGCACACACACACACACACACCGCCTCTCCTCACCTCTGGGAATTGGAACCGCTCAACGGAGAGCGAGAGCTGGCGCGACACACGCAGTTGTTCCAGAAGACCTTCCCTCGTCTAAAGGCGACACAGCGAGCACATAAGCGGGTCACGCAGGTGGCCGTGTATGACATCAGACGCATGAGCACAACACACGACAGACACACACACACACACACACACACACACACACACACACACACACACACACACACACACACACACACGCACACGCACGCACGCACACACGCACGCACGCACACACAAGAGTGTTCTCCAAGTGGCGTGTGTCGCACCTTGGGGCGGTTGGTTGCAGAATTTGGATCGTATTTCTCAATCGCGGCCTCCACGTCCTCAATTCGCTGCTGAAGCATTTCCTCACGCGACTGGTCCTGCTCTTTGCTCTGCACACACATACGTGCATACACACAAATGCATACGTGCGTACACACACACACACACACACGCACACACACACGCACACACACACACGTGCAATGTTCAGACATGAGTGCAAGCACAGAGAAGTTGCGAGGGTGTGCATCAAAGCGTGCCTGCACGTGTGTGTATGCGTGCGTGTAAGCGTGTATACGCGTGTATGCACACTTGTGTGTGTGCGCACATGCCCGTACAATTTCGGAGTAGACGAGCCAGTCTGAATCGCGCATGCCAAAATCGTCTTCCTCGCCGTCGCCCTTGGCACGCTTCGCCGGGTTCATCTGCGTCTGTCAGTGCGCACAGTGATGAAGGGGGGAGGGGCAGGGTGGGGGCGAGCATGGGTGAATCCTCTGACACAACGGAACACACCACACGACAGACACGAGTGCACACAACACGCTCGATTCACTCACACGCACGTGCGCCGCAATCCATCTCACTTCCAGGCACACCAACGCCTTCCCCAAATAACATCGAGGCCTTCCCCAAGTAACATCCTTATGTACACACACAGACACAGACGCACAGACACACACAACGCCATCGAGACAACCATGTACCTGCTGGACGAGGAGACGCATGCGCGCCTTTGAAGCGCCGCTGTGGCGATCACTCAGTTCTCGACGCTGCCGCTGACACACACGCAGCTCTTCTTGCAGCAGCTGGCACGCAAGTGAGTGAGTGAGTGAGTGAGTGAGTGAGTGAGTGAGTGAGTGAGTGAGTGAGTGAGTGAGTGAGTGAGTGAGTGAGTGAGTGAGTGAGTGAGTGAGTGAGTGCAATCTGACGTGAGTGCACGCTCACATGTAATATGCGCGCATTTGTGTGTATGTGTATTTGTGCGTGCGGTGGTATTGTCGAAAAGGATTTGCACGAGTGTCAGCCATGTGACCATACCTTGTGCTCGCGTCGTTTCTCGTCCAGAAACCCCTGCAGGTCATTCTTGATCTTCTCCTCCATTCTGGCCCGCTCTTCCGCCTGACACACATGTACGCCCGTGCATTGAAATGAACACATCAAGCCTGACCTGCACATTCTATGCACAAGCAGACAAACGCGTTGTTTGCGGATCCACAAACACACGCACACACACATACACACGCATACACACACATACACACACACCTGGATGCGTTTCTGCTCCTGTCGCTCAATCTTCATTTTCTCGCGCGCCTCAGCCATGTTCTGCAGCCACCATGACGGCCGTGTGAGGAGGAATTTGCTACACTCAGACAGACATAGGCAGCCAAATAGATAGATAGACAGACAG